TCTCTGTCTTCAAGAACTCTGCATCTTTCATGTATTTGTAGTCTCCACACAATGAGTCACACAAATGGGGATGGAGGTTCTCAGTCTCAGTCCCTCTGGTGTTAAGGAGCATGAAAAAATAAAAGAGTGTTTGACAGAGAAGGTCAAACCCGGGCTTACTTTTTTAGATGTTAGCTCGTCTGGGCCGTCACTGTGTAAAGTAGGTGTGATTGTCAGATTGTCGGTTTGAGAAAGGTAGAATAATGGTTTGCTGTATGTATCTCATATGTGAGTTCAGAAGAAAGAAAATGGCCTTTTAGGTTTTTTTTGCCTTGTTTATGCCCCTGGCACATCATTCATCTCCACTTATTTCGGTAAGATGGAAAGTGTTTATAGGTGAATGAATGGTGATGGCAGAGTTCCGGTATGTGCTGGAGGCTCAGCCAGGCCAGCGTGCCAGCCAATTTTGTCACGGCAGGTAACTGGGTCATCAACCCACAATCCCCTTGTGTGCGACTTCAAGCCCCCCTTCCATTCCTTCCCTGTCACTGGATCTGTGGGACGAGAGGAGGGACAGAGAAAAACATAGAAACAGAGAGAGAGAGAGAGAGAGAGAGAGAGAGGAATCCTTCTTCGTGTATAGGGTGATGTCTCAGCAGCAGCAACAGCTTAGTGCTTCAGCTTCAGACGTCTCTGTCTCTCTTTTTCTTTCCAGTTTCCTTCCTAACCTGTTTACTCTTCCCAGAGCCTTTCTGTCCTTCATACAAATAAACATGTGTGAAGCAGTTTACTGGCTCATGATTATTTGTTCAAATGAAAATTTCTGGCATGTTAACATCCATTGCCATTTGGTGCAACTAATGTGTGAAGACCTTACACCTTCTCTTTTTTAACACCTAGTTGCCATCCATTGTTTTCTGTCAGATTCCAGGGATTAGCTACTGCTGCATTACAGTTACCCTTGGTTTTTAATCTTTTTATTAGATTGTTAGACACAGATACTGTCCCCCTCTTGATGCTGGCAACATTTTGCGGGTAAGAAGATTTTCAGCCCGAGGAGTAAGAGGGTTAAGTTGATGAGATTCAATACCTTTTTCTTTCTCTCTTCTCTGCTCTGTATTCTCCCTGTGCTTTCCCTGTCTGTCTCTCTTCCGCCTTACTTTCTCTCATCCTCTCTGCAGACAAACACAGCTGAGATATGGGCACATGACCAAAATGTGTGTGTGTGTGCGTGTGTATGTGTGTGTGTGTGTGTGTGTGTTGGAAGCTCTGCCAACCTGAACCTGCTGACCTGCAGCTCCGACAGGCCCTCAGCTCTCTCTCTGCAGATGAGCTGGATGTCAGGGCTCAGTGTAGCCTACGATACAGACAGAAACATAAACATGTTTCATTAGCACACCTTATTTGATTTATGTAAAACTTAAGATGTAATGATTTCAAACTACCATAGTTTTACCTCTGGATTCTATGGATCTGTTATGGCACAAGAGCCGTACATCGCCACTGAAGTGGTCCTGTATTACAAATGCAGACAGGGTCAATCAAGAGATGTTCTGTTAAAATCATTTTTTGAGAGATTTGTCTGACTGAAACTCCATGACAGTTAACACTGAATTGAACAAGATATAGCTTGATATCTCAGTTAGAGAATTCAGAGTTACAGAATTCAGTTGCTAACTGAATATCAGTTAGCTGATATTTCCCCTGTGCCACTTCAAGAAAGACTTCATGAAGACTTCTTAAAAATAGCTTTGAGTACAGAGTAACTAGTGTTAACTCTGTGATTTTGTTAGCCTAAAAAAGCACAAACACACATTGTAAGGGGACAACAGCTGACCTACATTCAAAGGTGCTTTCCTGCAACTCCAAAACTGTTTTAATCGTACATCAATCTCGCTTATTTGGCCTATATAGCTCTAGCTGGAATTTACCCTGCCTATAGTCTGCCAAATGCCCGTGTGTCCTTGATATTGTAAGCAGCAGTGGGTGATGTGAGTGAAACACTTGACATGTGGTATACTGTGCACGTTTCCACATCCCCTAACAACAGCTTCCAAGGTCTCTTCTGCTTCTGTCTTTCCAAAACAAACAACAACAACCTCTGGCTTTGACATATGGTTACAGGCCACTAATATGAATGAATGATATTTGTTACATCGCCATTCATCAACTGCACTTCATTTTCTGCCTGTCACAGACATAGATATTACTGTGGAGTCCATGATGTCCCCTTAACTGAATGAAAACTTTCCCAGAAAAAAAAAAAAAATATATATATATATATACATATATGTATATATATATATATATATTTATACTGAATACAAAACAATATCTGTAGATGTTGTTATTTGTCTCTTCTCTGTCTCGTGATAGGTTACCAAAAAACACTTAGCGTGTTGGTGTCACAGGAACATCACAAGGTTTGAATCATAAAATGCATACACCTTAACCTAAATCACACAAGGGAATAGCTTCTAATACTCACTGATGACACAGATACAGTAGATTCACTCAGAGTCAGCTGCCCAAATTAAATTCTACTCTTTGCAGAGAGCATTGAGTTGTGATTTTTGAGGGGAATTCAGCATCAGTATCTAACCCAATGTTCCCTCATCAGTCCATTTTAATTAAATCAAACCACCAGCAAAGACCCAGAAACTCCTGACCTAAAATTGAAATGTGGAATATTAGATTAAACTGACTTCATATCCTGCTCAGACCAACGCTGAACTGACATGAATATACTTCTAGAGCCTTGGGTGTCAGAGGTCCAGGGTTCACCTTCATTATCTTCTGTCGCACACATGCAGGTGATGTCATTAAAAGAGTAACGAGGGCATAAATTAGTAACGAATACCTGCTCCTGTTACAGCACAGGTGCTAATCTATGTCCACACTCAGGCAGGTGTGACATCAGGCTGTTAAGGTAACACACTGAAGGTTTTGGTGGCACCAACAACTGTGGTGTATGGAATAGATCTGAACCAACACCGGAGGACTCAATCACAGGTACTGAAAGACTGATGCATACAGCAGAACCTGAATGTACTTTTAAACCATGGCTTCATTATGGCATGGACTCATAGCTACTATTTGATTATGTATATTTATGTGCACTACAGTGAGCTACTAACAGCGGTGGCATTACTTTCAGATCAATCGATCAAGGCAGATGAAAGGACTGTGATGATGATTGATTGAATTGTCTGTTTTCTCTTACCAACAGTTTTGGTCGAGAGAGAGATATCTGAACAACTGCTATGAAATTAGCTGCAGATGTTGACGGTCCAGTGGATGTATTCAGTGATTCCTGGTGAGCCCCTGAACTGTGATCAGGGGTCTCCAACCTCCAACCTTTCCGACCTACCATGGATTTTGGGTAAATGCATATATATCCAGTCTCCTGGTGTTGGCTACAAACAGACACCTCGATAATGATTACTTCATCTGGCCCTTCTGACACCCACACTGCAGTCCTACCATGTTTTCATACCGTCACTGTTCCCATACTAATAAAAGTAAATGCCTCCCCCTTGTGTCCATTTTCTGCCATTACTCAGCCCATAGCAACTATACTGAGTTACGGTGTAGTTGAATCACTCAGTGTAAATAATACCTGTTTGAGGATTTGATGGTACAGCATTCACCACCTGTTCTCTTTAGAGAGAGTTGGGTTGTCCACCTTTTTCTGCCTGAAGGACGGTGTGAAGCTGAAACATGTCAGCTGTGGGATCTATACACTGTTAAAGACATGATATCAGTGGCATCACTGCCAGATGAACTATCTGGGGGAGGATGTAGCTTACTGATTGTGCATATGCACTGAATGTACAAGGTTTTGGGTTCAGTCCCCTGCATCTCCATCATTACATAAAGTAATGAAACTGTCAGACCCTGTTATACCTACAGTGTCTATATTACAAAGAGGCAGAAAAGACAGTTTTTTAAATTAACTTTACAAAAAATTCATTTTTACAAATCAATAAATTAACCAACTGATTTGGTCCAGTGAGAAGATTTTTAAAAAGTTGCCGAACAGTGAGGCAGCCCATGTGTTTGTATGAGGAGTTGTAAATCAGTGATAGTGTGTTTTGCATGCACATGGTCTCCAACAAGACATCAACCATCTTTGGTAGTGCAGACACATGTGGTTTAGAGGTAAATAAAAAATAATATAATAATATTATAATTATTATTCATTAATTAATTCAATTATAATTCATTAGATATGACCTAAACTGTTTATAACATTACTGTGATCCCTTCAGTACTATAATCATGTGAAGACACAGCTCTCATAAGTGCCCCTTGAAATTTGCGTTTTAAAATAAATAAGACAATAGAGACAAATTAATCAATCTATCAATAAACTAGTCAAATTGAAAAGGGACAGATAATTGGTGAATTATGAGCTGTTCTACTTGGCAAAGTGAAGAGGATGTAGCTCAGTGGTAGAGCGTGTGCTTCGCATGTACAAGGTCCTGGGTTCAATCCCCAGCATCTCCAGTGCTTCATATACCTTTCCATCAGTTGGAAATAACCCCAAAGAACATCATGTAAATTGAATATACACTACTTTTCAAAATTAGCAGTCAATATGGATTAAACTGTGGATAATGTTTATTTGCAAAATGCATTAAACAATCACATCTCTGAAGTTTTCAGCAGCAGAACCATATCTGTAAATACTGTAAGGTAACAAAATTCCTGTGTTCATTTTCTCTGAGTTAAGCACTGAAAAATGCTTGTGAACAACTGATTAGATGATTTTTCACTCATGACAAAAGCTCTGTAACATGCCAGAGATTACATATCAGCTTTTCACAAGGACTTTAAAGCTTTTCTGTGAGAACACTTGAAGGGAACTGCTCTCCATTCATGCACAGGTCAATCTCACTCTACTCTGTAGTAATATGTACATTTTAAGCCTCCATTAATTCTAAATTTCAACCTAAAAACTGCCTGTTTGAGTGTAGAGAGATGAACGCTTACGCAACATACACACAAAAATACAGAAATCAAGAGTGGTGGGTCTAGATTTTATTTTGAAAGTCAGTCTTCCATTGTGGATGGAATCTAATGCAGCCATAAACACAGAGGTATGAGGAGGTTGAAACTGTATGGATCATTGCTAAAACAGTACGCAGACAGAAGAAAATTCTTTTACTTTCAGGTAGAGTCAGATCTTTGCTCACTGTCCAACACTGCAAAAGCCAAAAAGAAATTGTTAAAAACTGACCAGTCATGTTTTCAATCACCCAGTCTGGGGGGACTTGTACTGTGGGCCATAATGTGAATATATAAGAAATTGTACAAGAATGTTTTTGTTCAGGCATGATGCAAAATAGTGCTCCTCGGTCTGCTCCTGGGGCCGTCTGGAAGACAGCAGCTAGTTGAAAAGCAGATGAAGTTCCAGGTAGTTACTGCAAGAAAGAGGAATACACATAAATAAATATACTCTTAACTTTTCAATCATTACCACTTACTATACCATTTCAAGTTCTGGCACATTTTATTGTTAGCATTGCTCAATGCCACAACACATTTGCAGTCTACAGGGTCACTATACCAAACAAATGTACCATCAGAACTGTACAACCAGTGACTGCGACAAATTAATTTTTCAATTTAAATTACTTTCAAAATACTCAAACAAAAAAAGGTGGGCGGGGGATTATAAAACTATGTGGACTAAGAAATAAGGTTATCAAGTCCACGCTTTGTGCTAGTGCTAGTCTTTATCTCAAAAAACAGGCCAATATTGCTGTAGCTAACATTAAGTGATATAGCACTTTTACTGTGTATATTACAACATTTTAATATTCTAATCATTACTTTCAAAAGTGGAATGATATTTAGTAGGGAATACTGTGTAATAAGACTACATGGCACTGGTTAATGTCTGTCTTTGGGAGGATGAGCACATCACAGGTCAAACCCCTTCACTATAAGTCTTGTTTAACCAGTGTTATTTTGTGATTATGATGGCACACAGTGAGATCAGTCACAAACATGTGAACGATTACTTCATTTGTAGGTGTTGTCTATTTATTAGTAGGTAGAGCTTTAATATATTTTTTCCTTATAGCTAATAAAAACTCTCAAAGTCATAAAGTCATCTGCTGCTGCCTTGGAAATTACACCGAATAAGTATGAGAACATGTTTAGACCTGAATCTGGGCTCACTCTCAGATTTTTAACAAATCGTGACAATACTGATAATTGTGATCATTCTGGTCTCTATAATCGTGATAGTGAATTTTATACTGTTCCATCTCTGGTTACCAGCAGTTACTTTCAAGCCATTTCCAAGCTGCTGCACTGCTCTGCTAAAATCCAGGTTTTATAACGCAACACTGTCAGACAGAATTACCAAATATACAAATTAAAGACAATGGCTATGCTGTGATTTCGACTATATTTACTTTGAGGCACGTTCCTACTAAGTCAGTGAGGGCTTAGGGCTGTCAAATCATGTGCAATCAAGTGCATGAGGGCTCTCTTATGCATGTTCTGCAGACCAGCAATGGTCCAGCCAAAAAACATTAAGAGTGCAGAGTGGGGTTTTCTCTCTGCCTTTTACCAGCTAGGGAGTTCTCCTGCTTGCTTCATGACGTGTGTGTCTCTGGAAACTCAGATGAGTACTTACAAATTTCTCAACCAACAGGCCATCTTTGAAGAAAAGCATGAATGGTGTGATGCCATCCTCACGGTAATCCAGCAGTCCAACCATGCCCTCTGGGTTCATGGACTCTCCTGTGAAGAACTGTGACAAACGGCAACATGTCAGAAAACAGCCAAAATTCAAAGAGATTCGGGTCTTGTGTAAACTGGCAGACTATAGGGTACAGTTATGAAGATGAAGGTTTTTTTTGTTTTTTTTAACTAGAGGGCATGAAATTTTATAAGTATATACATGGCATGTTAACTAATTAAATGTGTCATGTTATTTTTTTTAAATACATTTAAATTTTAGTCTGTTTCAATTTGGGAGACATATCAGCGGGTGCATGTCTGTGTGGTACAGTGCATAGCAGGAAAATGTGCTGCTTTCATTACACCACATCATCACATTCACTGGTGATCCGGTTGCTGTAAATGGATTCTTCACATTTGTCCAGTGCCATCAAAATACCCACCATCACAAAAGCTCTGTGTTATTTCTGAAAGACACCAGGTGTAGCCAACTGGTTGCAAGTAGGTTCTAGTGAATTTTGAGTCACCTGGATAACTTCCAACCTCTCAAATGTATAACTGCACTGTTGAAATGCTTTATGAATTATTGCTCCCAACTCAGCAAACTGGGAGTTATTTTTAGCCTTAACAGGTTTTGTGAATACTGTGTGTGTCTTGACTTTGTGGCTACCTGGTAGTTCTTGATGTTTCCCACAATCTTCTTAACTTCAGCTGTCATGCCAACCGTGAAGGCCTCCACTCTCTCTGGATTGGACTCTTCCAGCTTGGCCTTAATCCTGGACATGCAAAAGAGCGACATGCTTTGGCATTTCTGGGTAGATTCAAAATACCAAAAAGTTACAGATGGGGATGCACCAACTGAACCTTTTTCTCCCCGACACCTTAACTCTGGGAACAACCAACACCTGTGATTCATTCATTCAAAGCACCAAAACTTACACCTTCACATATTCCTTAATGTATGTCAAGTACTGCTTCTTGTCGAAGGCCGTCTCCTGTAGTTTGTGGTTGAGGATGATGTCCACGCCACTTACAGAGCTCGACTCTGTGGACTCGATTGCCTCTTCAGCAGAGGCGTTGGCCCCAATTAAAGCATCATCAATGTCGTCTGACCTGGAGACAGTCTAGACACAATAGGCAGGGGAGAACACAGGACAGGCATAAGGGGGGGGGGGGCATCAATTAGTGTTTTTTTTGTTACTGTGTATAAATTTTATGTATTATTTTTAAATAGGTTATGGCATGATCAAGCAACTGGTTTTCCACATGGCTAGCTTCACTGTATTTACACATTCCGCTGGAAAGTAACTGGAAGTACCCCTTGGTATGATTTGACTTCACCTTATCTTTAAAGTTATGTATGTGTAATAATGACAAGTCGGATATGCCTTAATATATATTTTACAAGAGATTAGAGACATCTGTTGAACAGGATGAACTGGTGAAATGTCCATTTCAGTGTGGTCTAGCTTTAGGCCAACTACATGGAGAGAAAGCTCCAGAGACTGACCACACATAATACAGCTGCCATCGACCCATGTATCAGGGCTACAGCTGATTGTGATGATTATTTCTTCAATTCAAATTATTTAAACTAAACGCTGTTCACAACTTCAGCGCTGAAAAAAGCTTCTTCAGATTTTTTATTTTGCTGGACCAAAGGTCCAAACATCTACAAATATATAGTTTAAAAATTATGTTTTATGGTTATGACATATGCAGGAGATCCTCTCATCTGAGAGGCTGGGAACAGAATATTAGGCCGGGAACAGAATATTAGGCCTTTTTTAATCTATTTTGGCTTGAACTAGTGAAACAATTGATTAGTTATCAAAACTGATGTCCATCATTTTCCAGTTGCTTGCCTCAAGGATTAATCATGTCAGCTCTTTTGTATAACAATGACTCACCTTTCCTTCAACTTCATAGAAGAAGCCACTTTTAGTTTCTTTGATTTTAAAGGCGTCTGAGAACATCTCATCACCTAGGGGAAGAACACATCCATGTGACCGATTTGAACAAAGCACATCCCAGACTATCTACTGGAATTTATAAACTACAAAGTACATTTTCGCGGGACAGCAGAAGTTAATTACCATCTGGACCTTGTTTTAATGATTATATAAACAAGAGAAGAAGCCACGACACATTTTCATAGAATCGATGCTAATGGTGATTCTAGAAAGATCTGCTAGTCAGACATCTCCCCTTATATAAAACTGCAGCTAGTGGCTACATGATCCCGAAAGGCCACATACACCACGTTTCTCTAACATGACTGACACTGCATTTATATCCTGAACCACCGTCCCGTATCACATCACCCCACCCTGGTATGACTCAAGACACGGTAGTCACACTTTCCCACTTTTAGCCAACTTACCGGCAGCTGAACCGTGGCCAGAGCTAAGTCTGCCAGGCCGCAGTGGCGGTAGCTAGCCAGACAGAGTGGCTAACACTTAGCAAACTCATTGTTTAACATGATAAAGTTTTCCGTTTTGTGTGTTTTTTTTTTTTTGGACGATGGTGGTGTTAGCATATGGCTAGCGCTAGCCGCGGAATAACACGAGTTAGCTAGCTAGCCTGGCCAACTCTCTCTCTCTTTTTTAACATAATAACACAGCCAAAATAACCGCCGCGACGGATATTCTAACTGATCATCATGAAACAGTACCAAACACATGGTTACTTACCACTGATGACGCACTTGTAGATGATCATTTTGCTGTTTCGGTGTTAAATCTTTCAGAGACAGAAAACAGGCCAGCCACCCTACCAGCACGGGAGAGGTAAAAGACCGATCAGGCCGCGAGGCAGTGAATTTACATCCTGCTGACGTCACCGTGGATCGACAAAGGCTCTGGGGCTCTGAGCTTTTGAGCTTTGGTGCCACTTTGACATGGTGGCCGAAAGTGGTACTACATGTCCCCATTCACAGGGCACGAGAGGTCACTGAATGGCTTGATGAGTTTAAAAAAGATGTGAATCTTCCTTATTGCGCTTAAGAGCTTGACTCCACAGACAGTTTACTTGACTTGAATATGTTTGCTGATATAATTTGCCTGAAACTGAAATTATATCATGATATATATATATAAGATATATATATTTTTTTTAAAATTAAGAGATATCTTGGCATGATAGATTTTCAAGAAAATGTCACCGCAATGCACTGCAATTTTGTAAGATCTTGGTTGGCGAGTGGACCTCAAACCTTGCAACTATAAAGGGAAAGAAGCTCTATAACATGGATCAGTATTTTAAAATAGATTTTAATTCAAACGAGGCTAGAACACTGCAATACGCCTGTATCTTTTCAAATGATATTCAATAAATGTAATGATCTGTTCAAATTCAAAATTCTCAGTGTGTAAGTAATTTGTTGATTGACTTTTAAATCAACTACTAAAACAAGCATAATATAACAGAGGATGTAGCTCAGTGGTAGAGCGTGTGCTTCGCATGTACAAGGTCCTGGGTTCAATCCCCAGCATCTCCATCATCTATGGCAACCTCATTACAAGTACATGAAATGCTTATTACATAGCAGTGATCCTGTTAACACTATGATGATGTGAAAACTGGTGTCTTGTAAGTGCCTTAAATGTTGAGATTAGACGCTACACCAATGAAATAATCAGCCAAAGACCAAATTTTACAACTCTTTGTAAATTTGTTAATGACAATTTAGACGCAAGTACATCAATAAAGCAAGATAACAATGAAATGTACCTTCAATTTATTAGCAAAAATTACTTTTAATTTCAGGAATTTCAGGAAATTTTTGCAATATACTGAGTGGATAGGTAGACAGTGGAGACATGGATAGGCCATTTTGACATGTCAAAGGAGTAAAATTACTTCTATAATAAAATTCAGTTTCACTCTTGAAAAGGACAGAACCAGTGTCCTACAAAGATGCGTCAAATTGTCTGCTGGGAGAAAGGCCCCAGTAGTGGTCTGCGTAGTTTACATGAACATTGTGGTACTTTTTTTTCTCTTGTGAACACACTGTTACAGTCTAGTCATGAATCCAACCATTAAGAAATAGAAGAAATAATTTTCATCAGGAGATACTTTTCAGAATTAAACTAAATTTATTGCCCTTTTTTGAGTAAATACATTTATTCAGTTACTATTTTAATACGTTTATCCATCAAAACTAATTGACATTATGCAGTCAGTTCCCTCAATCATCACTTCATACAAATGTATGAAGTTACAAAAATAGACATAGGTAGAAAAATTGAAAACTCAAGTCATGAATGCAATCAGCTTACAGCCTCTTAGTCTGGAACCTCCAAGAAATCCAGGCTTTTACAAAGGACCACGTTTTCATTTTTTTTTTTTTTTACATATTTTAGCCTATTAATTACAAACCACATGCATTTTATATTACTACTGATCATTTTAGAAATCATGACTCAATTTTATTTGACTTTTTTTAAGGTTAGATTGGCTTCACTCATTTCAGAAACAGTGTACAAAGAGGGATTCCCTGCTCAAACTGCATCTTCATATAAGATAATAATGTATTTAATAAAAAAATAAAAATGGAAAATATTCACTGTACTGGATAACCAACCTCAGGCAGATTTCAAACCTGTAAAGGCTGATTTTTCTGCTGTACTGAAATTTTCTCAACCAAAAACTACTAATTTGTAGTCTCGAGCTATGGTATGAAAAACATTTGTGTTGTCCTTTAACCTGGTATTAATGGAGGCCAGAGGAGTCAGCCAAACGTTTTTTTTTCATTCAACCTTTGATGTTTGGTCTGTTTTATACAAAACAGCAGTGGTTTTAATAGGAAGAACGAAAAACATTGAATAGACTGTCCCGACAATAAATACAGTACACACACAAACACACTTCGGTAACCACGGAAATAGTACAAATAAGATTTTGAATCCAGCTGCTTTCTTCGTCATTTTGGCAAGTTGTTGTTTGTTGCATCCTGCAGTTCAACCTGAGTGTTTTACAGTCTGTTTTATTTCTCACAGCAATGCAACAAGCTCAGTTCATCAACAGTCAGTAACATGTTGGCAGTACTGTGAATGTAGCTACTCCAAAAGCTAATGTTGTTTTATGACACTAGATCTATATCTTAATCAATATGTAATATGACTGTGACTCCATGGGCGAGACCTGATTATTCAAGGTTGTGGGAAATTCACAGGAAAATATATTGGTTCTTTCATACATTTCTAACAAATTTAAATTATAATCTAATGATAAATAAATGAAATAACATAATTCATTTATAACTGATTTCATGGTCCTCCATGCTCTTAAAAAAAAAATCTCCTCATTGCAAGTGAATTAAAAACACAAAATTATTCTGATGTCCCTGTAGCCCTGTACAACACATACAGATGGATTCAGAAGATCAATGCATTTGATAATGCAATTCTTGTAAGCTATCTACAAAAAACGCTATCTGCATTAAAACGCACACAGTGATAGACAATCATGGCATACATGTGGCATATTCTTTTCATTTAGTTAAGTGCGGCAGTTGATGAAATGTTGAACATTTGTCCTGCAATGTGAGACAATGTCGTATCTCACATTGCAAGTATTAATTTTAAAAAATTAGTAGAGGCATAATCAAGTAGTCATCACTTTTTAGGGGCTAACCTTCCACCACATTTCACTGAAATCTGACGACCTGATTTTGTAGTCTTATCTACAAACAAACAGAACTAAGCATAAACTCCCACATGGAGGTCATCTGTATATAGTGTATATAACCTGTATCTTCCTTTTACTTTACACTAACACTTTCCTGGTTCATCTACACTGGAAAATGTCAGGGCAACAATAAAAATGTTCCTTGTGAGATTTGTTCATAATATGTTCCTTAACTTACACACACACGCACGCATATGCACACACACACATAAGTGAGCACGCACACTCTTGTCTTACGTTTGTTTTGAAGACGCTCACTGACATAATGTATTCCCTAGCCGCTTACCTTAACCATCAGAAATAAATGCCTAACCATAAAACAAAGTCTTTGCCCTCACAACAATGGTTTCAAACCAGAATTAGAAAGACATGTACATACATACATACACACACACACTCCACAGAGCAAAAAAATGAATGAGATACCAGTAGAGGAAGGAACATTTCTCTTATGCTTAGCTACTCTGCGTTCCCTCATTAGTTATATTAAGTCAAGTACAAATCATTTCCCACTTTAGTGACATGTTACTGTCCTACTGGTCCGTTTGCTGCATATTAGTTATGAATATCAGAAGTCCAGACCTGAGACAAAAAGTTTGTGTGAACATACCAGAGCACACACAGATTGGATTTGTAGTACAGGAGGGTAGAAGTCTTTAAAAAAAAAAAAAGGAAAGTAAAAAAGTGTGATGTTAGTGTGATGTTTAAAAGGACTTCTCCTGCATTCAAAAGTCTTACAAGTGAGAGGGGATGTTACAAAAAAGGAGGATTTTTGATTTCTATGTAAGCAAATGCAAAGTTATTTGCATATAGTATATGATTGCAGGAACATACTGTTACAAGAGAAATACAATTTTTCCCTTTCCATTACCTATAGCTTTCTGACATAGTGATTTTTGTGTGTCATCTGTGGAAGAAATATCAAACCACAACTAAGACATTGTGTGCCTAAAGCATTTTTCTCAGTTTTCACACAGAATATGACTCAGCCACTTTGTAGAGTGGACTTTGTTAGAAAAGCCAAACCTCTCTTCCAGTCTTCTCTTCAGCTGCTGCAGCTGCTTACTGACGAATTAAAGGTGTGATCTGTGCTCAGGAGGCAAATGTGACTCTGCTATATTAAACTCCATCTGTGTCTCATGTAGGCACTCAGAGCAGTGAAAACTAAACGCAGAGCTCACATCACTATGTGAAATGCTAAGAGTGCTGAAAACATTCAAAGTGCAAGAAAATGTTTTCGGTTTTACAAACCCAACATCAAAACCGACAGTTTGTGTTGACAACCAGCATCTCAACTGCTAATTTTTAACAAAATAGTAGTTACCACATTTAGTCAACTACTATACACATTTAATAAGTACCTATAGGTAGGTTTAATTGAATTTGGATATTTTTCGCAGTGTATTTACTGTGGTAATGCACTGTTAATCTGCTAGTGCTACTGCTGAGCCATTAGAGACATATTTACATTATTATTTCAGTTATTAGCTATTAATTTTCCATTTAAAATGTGCCCATGTTTCAGGTCAGTCAAGTTCTTATAGAAAGCAGATGAAACAGGACAAATACACAGTACAACACCAGTAATTTCTCATGAATTACCCTTTAGGGAACTACTGTAAAATAGAAAATATTGTAAAGTAAAGTAAAATGCAGTGTTTTTACAGCGTTGCCTTTGCAATGAAGATGATAAGGCAGTTTTCTAATATGTCCACAAGAGGGCAATATGTTGCTTTCCTCTGAATGCTGTCTTTAATAGAAATGAAGGAACTCTGGAGTTCTGTGACATACCAATAGGATCAAAACTGGAGTGTCAGATATTATTTCCTGACAGAAGGTGAGGGTGTTAGACTCTCCACACCCTCTGTTCACTGCAGCTTCCCAGTGGCTACCAGTGGAATACACGTGGTTTGACTGGTTTGTTCTGGCAGCTCCTGTGTGTAACTGTGCAATCACTGCAGTTCCCACATCCTGCTGACTGTGGGGCCTCCTCCTCTCCCCTTTTACGTAGTCGATTCATGCTGGATCTGGATATAGCAGGCCTGCAGCAGAAACACATGGGCATGTTTAAAGACCTGCACTACCTAGATTCAGGTGAAATGAGAAATACACATATGAATGTATGTGAGTGAGCAAGAAAATAAATGAAAAATTAATAAATTGCTTTGGGTGTGATAAATTGTGTGTGATTAAGGTGTGGTTGGGGGGGGGGCTGCTTGAGGGGTAAGACTTGGTTTACGGGTTAGTGTTAGAATTAGGTTTAGGTTAGGATAAGGAAGTAGGGAATGCATTATGTCAATGATGGGTGATGAGGGGGGTGAGGTGGGGTCCCACCTTCAGTGTTGTGAACATTAGTCCCATCTCTCCATGCTGGACGTTGGGGTCCATCAGATCTTCTATCAGACTGACCTCAGCTCCCAGGTTCCTGATCCTGGAGAGTAGAACAGTTAAAACACAACATGTTCAGTCACCAGCCTACAGCCTTTGCTCACCACTCTGTGTTAGCTGCACTGAGTTACAACTGAATGTCATTAAACAGTACTAGTACCAAATAACAGCAAAGTGATAACAGCAAAGTACCTCTTAGAACTGGCCACTAATATATAACTAAATAGTCATGAAACAGTACGAGCATGAATAAGAATGTGATAATACAACCGACAGAGTGAAGTGATTAGACCAACTTTTCAACTTCTACATCTACTAACACAGTGTGTGCGTGTTTGTGGGTGAGATAACACACCTAGCTCTGAGAACCACGTAGATGAAGAGGGGGAGCAGGTCATCCATGCACCACAGGAAATTACCATCAAGCATAGGTCTTACTTCCTGGGTCAACTCCTCAAATGTTTTCTGGATGACCAGGAGTTTGTCTGATGGAGTGAAGGTGGTGCTGTATGTGCAGGGGGACAAATATTTTAATATTTAACTCATTATTTTACATAATAATGTATGAACTTTAAATGTTGTAAATGCTCTGAGTTGTGCTGTATTAGTGTTTGAATAATGTGCCACGTCATGTCACATGAGGTCAGGGTTTGCTTGGATTTTTCAGGTACTGATGATGAGTTTTAAAATGGGACCTTTGTGTGTGTGTTAATTCAGTGTGGTCATGTCTCTTGTACATCATGTCAGTTCACATGCCAGCTACCTGATTTGTTGGAGTGTCTCTACAGCAGAAACGAAGCAGGCATCTTTACTGCTGGACACAATCTGAGAAGCAGAGAAACTGTTATATTACAGCAGATGTGACTGTAAACACATACAGCACATCATAACTTTATGTTGGAATGAGAGGTAATCTATAATGTGTGATAGTAATAGACAGATGGATTGAAAACTGGTGGACAAAATGACTGATGAATAAGAAAAGGTACACAAGGAGAAAACAGACAGTTGGTATCTGACCTGTTTTTTCTCTCCAAGAATTGACATCCACACTGGCCAGAATTTCCTACAAGAGGAAAAAAAAATTATGACTGCTACACAAACAATAAAAAAAATAGCAATAAGGTAGTCTAACAAACTCAATAAAATGTTATCTGTCAATGAAAGGAAACTTCTTGTGTATCTGAGATAAAAGTTACCAAAGTCATAACAGTAAATTTAACACTATCTAGAGGCAGGTTCTCTGTGGATTTACAAACAAATGTGTGTGCGTGCTCGCGCGTGCGGTTGTGTGTGAGCGTGTTTGTGTTGCATGTACAAACTCACTCCTGCACTCCCAAGAAGCTGAGCAGTGACTGGTCGGGCTGTTTGTTGAGTCGAAGGATGCGCTCCCAGTACTGGGCCTCCTCCTGCTCCTCCTGCAGGCAGTACAGGGTAAAGAGAGGAGGGTAGAGTCGAGGGAGCAGCAGAGGGAGGAGCAGAGAGGAGCAGCTCACCACCACAACACTGGAGAACAAAGGTGGAGGAAGAGGAGAAAAAGAGAGAGATGAAGGTTTAATGTACAGCTTGTCTGTTTCGGTATCACAGAGACAGATGAGCTGACTAGAAAGTGCCACCTGGCTGGGTCTTGTTCGGATAATGTCATCTTGTAAGTTAACATGACAATCACTACCCATCGCTCTGAGTGTGTGAGTGTGATTGTGTGTGTGAGTGTGTGTGTGTGTGTGTGAGTGTGTGTGTGTAGACGCTCACCCTTGCTCTGCTGTGTTAGAGTTGTGCCTGCTTGTGGATGGGGAGGTTGGAGGGTCTGGGATGATGCCACCATCATCTGGTAACCCTGGAAACAGAAACCTGCAAGCAAAGTGTAGTTTTTTTTTTATGCTGGCCTACACATATCTAAAAAAACATTTTATTTCATTTATTTTGAATTTCCTCCTTGTTCTTTCATTCTTTGTGTTGGTGTTTTTGTGGTTTTTGCTTGGAAAGCTGTAGACTGAAATATCAGCATCAGAGTGGTATACTGATATTAATATTAATACCAATCTGAACATAGCACGCAACTACAGATGTAGTCATTGTGTCCACTGTATCATAACTAAGGTGGGTCCTCACTTTCCTCACTCGTGTCTCTTCCTCACATGGGAGGGAGAGAGACGTGAGGAATAGATGTGAGGTTGGACGGTGTGTATTCATCAAACGGGAGCCTGTCCTTTTACTGTCCCATCAGATCAGCTGACCAATCAATAAAGACATTACAATCACAGGGGTGTTGATACACCTGTGGACCTCCTCTCTCCTCACACCTCATCTCCTATGAGGAACATTGAAGGGATTGGAACATGCTTGATGATAGTGGACCTCGATCAGTTTCCTCTATAGCTAATTTACCCCTTCATGACAACTGTACGAGGAGAATCTTTATATACCTCACCCATTTAAATCTTATTATGGCTTAAAGACATGCATAATTGATGGCATGCCACTTTGATTGACAGGTGGGTGATCGTATACTCTGGCTTCACATCCAGATACCCTATCTGGGTCTAACTGGAGACAGAAATGCAAAGACGGAGCAGGAGAACAGAAGATGAATCTACCTGACAATGCTGTAGTAATGAATGAGGTAAGCCTGGACCTCCTGGACAGCCAGCCTGAGCAGCCTGCGGTTGGATCCCACACCGACGTAAGTCATCCTGTAAACTGTTACCAACGTCTCCACCAGCCAGCCCAGAGGGTGGAGGGGGGTCTCACATGCCTGACATACAACCACACAAACACAAATACTTAAAAGTAGTATGTCAATATCAAGTATTATATGTCAAGTATTATATTACTAACAAACAGATAGCCATGTTTTTGCTAACCTCTAATAAACCAAACAAAGGTAAAGTGTTTCCAGTGACTGTAAATCAACATGCAGTTGTTTTACAGCAAAAGCCATAATCAGTTCTCCTCATTCACTGGAAGGTTTTTAGTGACATTTTGATTTTATATTAACATACTAATAATGTAAAAGGTCTGTTCCTCTAATTCTTCGGCATTGCTGTGTCCCAAAGTATTGTACACACAGTAGTTCAAAACAAAAAAACAACAACAACAAAAAAACAAAAGATAAGAAACATCTGGGTAGCCTGCCTTAGATTTCAGGAAGAAACACTGGAGTATTATTACCTATTCTGATGAATACTCTGCTTCCATCTATTGTACTTTATTCTCATTTCTCAGTCTATATACACCGTCAATTTCTACAGCACGAATCAATTTACAGATCAGCGCAAAGACAGAGACACAGAAAGTTTTCTTGTACCTTGATGAGATATCGTCGTATGTTGTCATAGTTTGCAGTGGTGACAGGTTCTCCGTGCTGGGGAATAAACTCCAAACACTCCAATACTTTGCTCTGAGACCTACTGAGGTCTGGGCTACGCCCACAAAAACAAACACAGAGACACACATTCACTTATTTTAATTTGCAACATTATATTTTAGAAACATACAGCATAGGAACACTTAAATTTGCTTTGGTGGTTGGGTGGGTGTGTGTGTGTGTGCGTGTGTTGCTGTATCTACCTGTGGCGCCGTGCAGTTGTTATGGTAACAGCAATGTTCTCCCAGGCTGTAGTCCTCTCTCCTCTCCCAGCTACATCACAGCCCAGTCGACTCCAACATTCATTAAACACACAGACCCACCTCTGACCTGCAGGCACCACATACTGACCCAACCTGCTGCACATGCAAACATTTTTTACATTTTTAAAATACCAAAAAGGAAGTAAAGTTCTAGATGATACGAACTTAAATATTAGGGATCGACCAATGTGGTTTTTTCAAGGCTTATATACTATACTGATTATCGGTAATCAAGGAGATTGATAACTGATATTTGGAACCGATATGCCAACACTAAACTACTGCTGTATAAGGACACTCACCGTGGCGTCCAGGTGTTTTTATTATTTTGTCCACCACATTTATATCAATGAAAGTAGGTAAATAACAGAAGTACCTCTGTAATGCAACACAGCTCAATTATAATCAAGAACTATCTAAACCAATTTTAATAAAAACTGAACATTGTAACGTCCATGCAAGAGGATTTACTGTAGGACTGTTGTATTAGACTACATCAGTTCTATCTACATGTTCCTAATAAACTGACAACTGAGTGTATATTAGTAATTATCAGTTGTATGCACAGACTGCAAAGGAATTAATTGGTTGATTTCAGTGCTGTCCTCACCTGTGAACTGATTCACCTGGTAACCAAAGGATGCTTCTTAATTTAATAGTTTTATCATATATTATTATTATCACCAAATAAGATGTTTTAACCGTCCCCTTTTAAAATGTAAGGCCCTAACACATTTACTCAGAGATATTTTATTTTATCGGTTAAAAAAAAAAAAAAAAGATACTGATAATCGGAAAATGCTGAATATTACCACTGATAATCGGCCAGGCCTGTAATCGGTCGATCCCTATTAAAAATATCCTGTCATACGTCTGGTAAGAACCAGCAGTCTCACTTTAATTCTCACATTCACAGATAAGCACACAAAAGCCTGTTCTTTTGAAATCAATTCAGGATTCAGGTTAAATCCTGATTTTAAATAGTGCAAGGTAATACTCACAACAGGCTGTTTCTCTCTTTGTTTTCAGGTTCATCGATGGCTGGTTTGTTGTATGTTCCCACCACCTTCAGCCCTGCGCTCCACTCTCCACTGAACAGGCCGTCTATACAATCACCGTTAGCCAAGGACAAAACACCCTGAAGAAGAAGGGAGAAGTAGTCAATGTGAAATTATTTTCAGAATTTTGCAGTTGGGTTTTGACTTTCATGATAGTGACATGTAATTATTTTGCAATAACTTCACTAACAACTAGGGCTGCACGATATGCCAAACAAATCAAATTGCGATTATTGTGGCAGATATTGTGATATGCGATTTCAGTTGAAGGGGTCACTTTTGTGTTTCATTTTCACTGAAAAAAATATAAAAATAATGATGATGTGATTTTTGTCAGGTCTTGCATCAAACAAACATGTTCCTTTACTTCTGGAGAATATAATTTATAAGTAGGGGGATCTCTGTTGCACCACAACATTTATGGTGCTGGACCACTGGACATCAATACCTTTATGGACATGACAGACAAAGAGCCAGAGCATACAGATAAAAGAAGAGAGACATTCTTACTACCTTCCCGTTGACAGTCCAGTCATCAGAAAACTCCCCATTGAGAGCTGTGTCGTCATCGGACACAAGCAGCCCTGGACCCTGATAGAAAGTACACACTGCATCAAACTTTATACAGTCATATTACAAATGCACAATGATAAGAGTGGTGCCCATAGATTGTATCTTTTTTCTTTTTCTTTTTTTTTGTCATTTTATGAGCTAATCTTCATGTATTTGTTCATATTTGTTTAGTTAAAATGTAAATTAAAAATGTTTCCAAAAGTCCATGCCCCAAAATGTGCATATTTGGGACCAATTTTATAGAAGCAAATTTATGGAAGCAATCTCTGATATATTTAAAACAATAAACCTCCATACGTGTCAATGAGCAACCCATTACCACCACGGAGTCTTTCACATCCCTTGGCACACACATCAATTCTCTCAAGAGGACAACTAATACAGACTACCTCATCAACACATAACACTAACATCTGTACTTCCTCAGATGTTGGATCTACAGTTGGATCTCTGCACATCCAATCATGTATATGTGAGTACTACCAGAGTACATACTTAAGGGTGAACTTACATTCATCTTGTTCTCTTTGAAGGTCCCTTCATAGTACACACTGGACTGTGTGACAACCACAGCGCTACCATGCCTCTGGTCATCCAGCCACAATCCCATATACTTCTCACCTCTGGGAAAACGAATGAGATCAGGGACTAATGACAGCAGTGTGATGTTGCTAATGAAATTTAAATTCCTTCACTGCACATTTTCAGTACAGTCAGAATGACATTACTATTTGGGAAAGTTTGCGATTTCAATGATTTCAAGTAAGATTCCACTGAAATACTGACTGAAACTACAGTTGATCATAAAAACAAACACATTATTTATCTGTCAACAAATATTCAGGAATATGTTTTAAAATTATCAAGGCTTTTTTTCCCCTTTTTCCTTATACAAAATCGACATGATAGTTTCTTATTATCAAAGGAATACAAGGAAAAGATTCTGTCTTTAGGGTTTCCAGGCTAAAAGAAGAAGCATTCCTCATGAGGGAGTGTTTGCCACAAATAGTAAATTATGGATTTCCAAATTTTAAAAGCTAAATAGGAGGTTTTCTGAGGTTTAAAGCAGAAGAATTAATCAGACCTGGTGATGTCATCGTAGACGCCGTACCCTGTCTTCCTGTCCTGCACCCACTGGCCAATGAAAACGCTGGAGGTTCTGACCTGTTTACCGGAGCTCAGCATGCCGTAACCATGCCGCTGCCCATCACAGAAACAGCCCTCGTACACCTCGCCACTGGCATACCTAGGCAGAACACACAGAGCCATGAATACAACATCACGGAGAGTGGTGCTCTTCATGCTCATGTGTAGAGAAGTGCACTAAGACAGCTAGGCTTCTGTGCTCAATTCCAACACAGGCCGCTGATTAAATCAAAATACCATGAATTGAATGATTTAGTACTCCAGCCCCAATTTTGATGACTTGGGATCCAAGTTATTGCTGAGACACAGTTGATGACTAAAGATGGAATAAGACTGAATATTGTCCTTGACATTTGTGACTTGGTGTCAAGTACTGCTACTTAACACTTGAGACATGACTCCTATGACTTGAGCTGTCATGCTCAGCTGTCATATGCCACTCTCTACCTAACTAAAAAGTCAAAAGAAAACAGTGTACTGACTTGTACTTGCCAAAACCATGGATCTTGCCATCTCTCCAGTGTCCTTGGTAGGTGTCTGGTTTATTCAGCACTTTGTTAGGTATTATACATTCCCCATAGCTGGAAACAAAAATATTAATTATAATATACAGGAATGATGCAACAACAGTTTATTATTTGCCATTTAATCACACATTTTTAAATAACACAAAACGAAACGACTAATTATTAATAACGTAACAATTTAGGCTGGCTACCAACATTATTTTCTGTTTCTGCAAGTTCATCACAAATCTGCATGACAGTTGAGATGATTCATATGAGAAATGAATAACATTTTAACCAGCTCTTTAGTACTACACCAGGTTACTGTACTGACCCATCCTCCTGTCCATTCTTAAAGTTCCCGGTGTACGTCCGTCCATCTGGCCACTTCATGGTTCCTCTGTAAAAAGAAATTCAATTTTACTATTTGTACATACGATTTGCACAAAGCCAGTTTTACACTCGGTGGCCATTTAATTATCTACTGCCAGGTTGACTCAACAATGTCTGGACTGAACATGCTGGAAATGGTCTGTTTAGATCCCTGTCCACCCTGAACTCTTCCCCCGTAGATGGATTGACTGCTCACTCATTCAAACTCACTATCTCCTTGCCCCAGAAATCCCTACTGATATGAAGTCTGAGGGCTAAACTAAAGTCCCTGTCTCTGCCCTAGTTCTGCATGTTTTAATTAATTCATACTGGTGTTATTGTTGTGTGGTACTAACTACACTGTAGATATGAGTTGGGAACATTTCAAACATGCTCTCTAACCTGCCATGAATTCGTCCTGCCAGCCAGCCCCCGTTGTAATGGGCGTCTTTAAACCGTCCTTCTCCAGTGAACATGTAAGAAGCGGTACGAGACATTGCCGCCACCCCTGGCAATGACCCCTGACCTCCACCACCCAGCACCTGATCCACTGCTTGGTTAAGAGATCGCAGCCACTTGTTCTACAAAGAGAGAGAAAATATAAAACACCTTGGATGAACATCAAAACTTTCGTAAGTGTGTGTATAATAAGCGTATAAACATAAATGTACCTTCTCTTGTGGTGTTGAGGCCACCACGGTGAAACTCTCCTCTGGACATGTAATTTTGATGGCATAGCTGAAGACACACAAGACAAGGACAATAATAACCTTGATCTGTGGAGAAGTGTTCATCATTCAGTATATGCTAAACAAAGGGTTTCACACAACGAGAAAAAAATGTCATAGTAGAAAGTAGAACTACATAATTTAAATTAGGGTTGATAGCTCAGAAAGCAGTAATAATAATAATTTGGACAAGTGCTTTGGGGAATATAAAACAAAAAAACAAAAACTGGTAACATCAGAGGACAATTTAGTTGTGTAGTCAAGCGATTTCCAGAGAAAACAACAGTCTGCAAATTAGCAAGCAACCACTGAGGCTGGATGTTCGCTAGCGCTCTTGTGCCTTAAAACGCATTTCATCTGTTTGCCACCAGGTGCTGGCAGAGCTAATTTCACTTCATCTAAATCGTTTCTCTGGGAAAAAATGGTTCCATTGTTTGTTTATTATGTTTGTTTAAAGAGTGGTATGTGAGTCGTATCATGCCAAGTTTAATTAGAATGACAGGTTTCTCAGCCATCACACTCAGCTGTGGCATTTGCTGCTCGTTTGAACAGCTTCAGCTTCAGTAAACTCAAAAGCAGGATTCAAAGATACATTCAGACTTACAGGTGATTGTGGTATGAGCAAACAAAGCTTACGCTGTAGCATTACATTAGCTTATGAGGGGGGTGGGGGTGAGTGACATATCTTCATCATTTGACTTTTTGATTGCATTAGCCATGTTAGGCTGACAGTTACAGTTTTGGATTTTTATAAACAACAAACTCACAGTCTGCTGCTGTCTTCAGTGACTGGTTTCACCCACAGGCAGGTCAGAGGATAGATGTGATGCGTGGAGAACTGGAGAGAGGGACAGACAGACAGAGAGAGAGAGAGAGAGCACTTGTTCATTGCATTTTATTACCAACTTTCTGCATATGTGGGTTTTGATCATTCTTATTAGCTAACATCACACTATCTGATCTTACAAAACTATGTCTTCAGAAATGACATGCAAGTTCCACAACACACTGCAAATGTACTCTCAGTTTTGCTATACATACAGTGCATCCAGAAAGTATTCACACCCCTTCACTTTCCCCACATTTTGTTATGTTACAGCCTTATTCCAAAATGGATTAAATTACTTTTTTTCCTCATCAATCTACACACAGTACCCCATAATGACAAAGTGAAAAAGGTTTTTTAGAAATTCTTGCAAACTTATTAAAAATAAAAAACTGAAATATTGCATGTACATAAGTATTCACACCCTTTGCTATGACACTCAAAAGTGAGCTTAGGTGCATCCTGTTTCCACTGATCATCCTTGAGATGTTTCTTCAACTTGATTGGAGTCCACCTGTAGTAAATTCAATTGATTGGACATGATTTGGAAAGGCTGTCTATATAAGGTCCCACTGTTGACAGTGCATGTCAGAGCAGAAACCAAGCCATGAAGTCAAAGGAATTGTCTGTAGACCTCCGAGACAGGATTGTATCGAGGCATAGATCTGGGGAAGGGTACAAAAACATTTCTGCAGCATTGATGGTCCCGAAGAGCACAGTGGTCTCCTTCATTCGTAAATGGAAGAAGTTTGGAACAACCAGGACTCTTCCTAGAGCTGGCCGCCCAGCCAAACTGAGCAATCAAGGGAGAAGGGCCTTGGTCAAGGAGGTGACAAGAACCCGATGGTCACTCTGACAGAGCTCCAGTGTTCCTCTGTGGAGATGGGAGAACCTTCCACAAGGACAACCGTCTCTGCAGCACTCCACCAATCAAGCCTTTATGGTAGAGTGGCCAGACGGAAGCCTCTACTCAGTAAAAGGCACATGACAGCCTGCTTGGAGTTTGGCAGAAGGCACCTAAAGGACTCTCAGACTATGAGAAACAAGATTCTCTGGTCTGATGAAACCAAGACTTAACTTTTTGGCCTGAATGCCAAGCGTCACGTCTGGAGGAAACCAGGCACCTCTCATCACCTGGCTAATACCATCCCTACGGTGAAGCATGGTGGTGGCAACATCATGCTGTGGGGATGTTTTTCAGAGGCAGGAACTGGGAGACTAGTCAGGATCGAGGGAAAGATGAACGGAGCAAAGTACAGAGATATCCTTGATGAAAACCTGCTCCAGAGTGCTCAGGACCTCAGACTGGGGCGAAGGTTTACCTTCCAACAGGACAACGACCCTAAGCACACTGCCAAGACAACGAAAGAGTGGCTTCAGGACAAATTCGTGAATGTCCTGGCCCAGCCAGAGCCCAGACTTGAACCCGATTGAACATCTCTGCAAAGACCTGAAAATAGCTGTGCAGCGACACTCTCCATCTAACCTGACAGAGCTTGAGAGGATCTGCAGAGAAGAATGGTAGAAATACCCCAAATACAGGTGTGCCAAGCTTGTAGCTTCATACCCAAGAAGATTTGAGGCTGTAATCGCTGCCAAGGGTGCCTCAACAAAGTAGTGAGTAAAGGGTGTGAATACTTATGTACATGCGATATTTCATTTTTTTTATTTTTAATAAATTTGCAAGAATTTCTAAAACCTTTTTCGCTTTGTCATTATGGGGTACTGTGTGTAGATTGATGAGAAAAAAATGAATTTAATCCATTTTGGAATAAGGCTGTAACATAACAAAATGTGGGGAAAGTGAAGGGGTGTGAATACTTTCCGGATGCACTGTATACAGAAGAGGATTCTGTGAGGAATCTTGATTTAGATGAATGAGCTGTCACTGTCCACCATATCCTGATTCTGTTACAAAAAACACATATTTGTCCATTTCCTTCATGATATTTCAATTATGTTTGAGCACCAGTTCTGTATTACCACTAAAACTAAATTAAACTAAACCAGAACAAACTAGACAAAACTAAAACAAACAAAAATTATTCCTATTATATCTTACAGCATACTTTCAGTTTTTCAACTGGCTGACTTATCACAAGCAAGTTTCAAGTCCTTTAACTAAAAACAAGGCAGCTATGAAGCTAGGAAAGTAAAAAAAAGTTACAGTGTGAGTTAGAGAATTAGCAACAATGCAAAGTAATATGATTTATTGGTGATGTACCAAAATATGCAAAACATCTGACATACTCCTTTCAGTTTAGTTTAATTTAATCTAGTTTATCTTAACAACGGTTAACTATCAAATTAAGAAGGAAAATGTATTTTCAAATTAATTAAGAAAAGAAAGCATCAACTATGTCAATACACAACATAGGACATGAACCCAAAACCACAAAACGGAGAAAGGAACAGAAGAGGTTTCACCACTGTCTACTGTCTATCAACACAACACCCCACACCAAACAGAAAGGAAAGATCTCAGTTAGGGTTCAGCAGGAATGTGTTTTATACTGAAACAAGCACACAGGACAAGGTAACAGTGAAGATGTTATCCTCCAAGAATGAAGAAGTTGTCATCTGGGATAATCAGTGACTGTCATGTCTGCTTGTTCAGAGCTGGTGATGTGGTTGTCTCTTGGATTAGATGCTTTTGAAAGCTAGAACACAGCAGTGCATCCTTTCACCAGCATCTTTATGGGCTATGAGCTATCATGACCATGTTTATTCTCACCACTGCCTGGCTAAACCCAAATACACACACATACACACACACACAGTAAGAGCAGCCTGTTTTGGCAGCAGCTACAGGTCAGTTTGGACAGAATCAGCCATCAGAACAACATGCATAAAATAAATCAAATTTAACACAGAACATCTGCAATGCCAAGGGTGACAAAGCCTGATATTTATCAGTTAGTCTGATATAAATATAACTGATATAAATGGAGTGCACAAAATATTAGAAACACCTCAGACTAACACAATACTGAGAGTTTTAACAAAGATTTAAACAAAAACAGAATATTATAACGACAATGGATATAGGATTTATTGCAGGGTTGCATTAGTGTTAGGTAGGTGTATCAAAGGATCTGGCATCTGAGTGGATAACTAGTAGCTGCAGACCTCTGCAAATCAAACTGAAACTGTCTGGATGGGAGTAAAACGTATTGGGTTTCTTCAGCGAACAGCCGCTTCAACATTACATAAGGTTCTGTGTTAATATTCATTTATTTGCTTACTAATACCATGTGAATCTCCCAAGAGTGTGAGCACTGAACAGAGGCCAGCCCACCTATGCCGCTGCAGCTCAAAGCTCAGGATAGCTAAACTGGTTGGTTGGAGTTGAAGTTGGGAAGTCAGAAATACTTACAAAGTTCTGAGAGGGAATGGCACCCTGAGTGAATAAAAGACACAATGTACACATTTAAACTTCATATGCAGAACACGTTAGGTGTCCAGAAGCACCAGGAAGACAGAGACAAACACACAGATCCAGTGGAAGTATTGTCTGATCTGAGCATGGCTGACAAAGATCCTGTGGATTTTCTCTGATGTTTAAGCAGTGGGTGTTGTTCACTGTAAGACAACTTTAAATTAATTTAAAAAGTAAGACAGATGGGTACATTGTACCCTGCTGCAGGCATTGTTAGCTAATCATGTTTACTATCTACAAACAGAAGAAAAGTACCATCATTTGGCTGTATTTTTTTTCTGTTTGCATGCATGTGTGTATGTGTACCTGTGTGTGCACCAGTGCATCGTTGAACAGTATGAACCAGTGGTTGGAGAACCGCCCGGCATTCTGCAGGGTCAGAGATCTGTTGCTGCTTTCACACACTACACGACGCTGTGGTAGACGCAGAACCTCCTGAAGAACAAAAACACATATTTAGCTCCGTTATTTGTCATTTGTGTTATACATGGTTTTTTAGAAAGTGTTTTAATTGGTAAATCAAACGTCTCCTTTATCATATGAATAGAAACACGATTATCCCTGATTTGTGAAATAAATGTCACAAGCACAGTTGCTGATGTTTAACAACTCAGAGTAGAGCATGCTGTCTTATGTGTATCATCATTTTGGGAATGTGAAATCTCTGAAGATTTTTTCACAAAAACATTACAAACAAGAAGAGAGTTTGCAGGCTATAATCACAAAACACACAGCTCACAGTATTTTTTCCAGAGTGGGTCTTCCAGAAGAGAAATGTGGTTTCAGCCTCCTTCTTCCTCCTCAACAGGGACAAAGACAGGGACTCATACTGACTACAGGCCTGATGGAGAGACTGATACTCCATCGTGAACTGGGGAGAGAAACAATTTTTTTTACTGTATATTTGAACATACAGATGAGTGGCGGTGGGGGCATCTTATAGCCAATACAGTGACAGTAATAACAAAATTACTCAATCATGGGAAACATAGAAAGATGGAAAAATGGAAGATCAAAAGAATGTTTGAGTGAAAAAACAACACTAAAAAGGCATACAAAAAGAAGCATGAGGTGAGAGCATAGTTTCATCCTCACCACATCATAGCAGGCTGCCAGTTTGAGCAGGACTCGGCTGTATTGGTGGAGCTGCTGCTGAGGCCAGTATAACAATGAAACCAGATCAATGTCACCACTGACAGACTGTTCTGAAACACACAGCTGAGTGAGCATGGCCTGCTGAGATCCTAAATACTCACTGGACAGAAACATACAGAGAGAGACACAAAGAGAAAAAGGATGCTCTTAGGACTTAGTTTCAGTATTTTCATCTACTGATGTATATCTGTTTTGAGTTAATGGAAGCTAATCCACTTGCTTTATTAAAAACTTGCTGTCTGGTAACTCTTTCCTGCTGCACAGGGTGTGATATGCTTTACACTTATGGTTTGTTTTGGAGCAAAAAATTCAGAGGAACTTTATTTTAGCATGAGGATGATCATCAACATCAACAGTGAAACTTTTCCTGCAAATATTAAGGCAATGCTTAGACAAAAAAAAATCACTTGCTGTTGCTCTAGCCCTCTGCAGTGGCACTCACAGGTCAAATTAATGTGAATATGGTCTCTTCAAGTGAAAACATAAAGTTAGAATAAAAGGAGCTTACAGTGAGAGTTTATGGAGTGACTGGAATCCACCCATCACCTGGAAGTTACCTAATGCAGAACAGTACCTGGAGAGAGACAAAGATATCTTATCAGGGGTTTTCATGTTAGTTCACATACTAGATACAGTAGAAGAATGTCAAATGAACTCATTGGTGAAAACAACTTGTAACCTCTAGGTTACATCAGAGGTATTCTTACTTTTGTTGACATGTTGAAAGTATCTGTACATGCTTTTTTCTTGCACTATCTACTGTCAACAGAAAGTTTGTAAGATTTAACTTTATTTGCTCTGAAAGCCACATTCCTGGTTTGTGTCTAAAGCCTAGGATTCTACAAAAGTGTTCACAGTTTGGCTACGGTGTGGACAGGAATGACTGACTTCAATAACCCAAGCTTTGTATTCAAACAAATACAAAGTCAAATGCAGTATAGATATAGTACGTGGGGTCTGTTGTTACTTAAAGCTACAGTATTTGCCTTTGAAGTGCTGTGTGTTGTATGAGAAAATGACACATTTCATATAAGAAATTTGGCAGTTGTAATAATTATTTAAGTCAAGTTATTCTTGACAAATGAAGTGGGATGCTACACAAAGTAAATGAGAGGAACAATAAAGCACAACAAAAGAGTGAAAATGGGAAAAAGCATAGTAAAAGAGCAAGAATGAAGAGATCTGAAACAAAAGAAAACACCTCTTTCGCCCAAAAAATATTGCATGAAAAAAAATGTAGCAGGAAATAGCAAACGTAAACATGAAAATGGAATAACTGCAACAAATGACAAAATGAAAGTGAAAAGTTAGAAATATTAGGCCAAGAAAAAAATAGAAAAAACGCCTTTTAGCAATAGCCACTAGCAAATTAAAAAGGGATCACTAGATGGGGCAAGCATCCCATAAAGGCCCTGCATGCAGAATTCCATAGGTCCATATTAAACATCCAAAGAAAAACACCAACCAGTGCAGACTGTTACCCACTAATTATTAACATAAAAAAGAACACTTCATATTTGGTTATATCTCAAATTTAGCCCCCAAGACACACTGAGATTTCAGGTGCTACTGATCAACCTCAGACCCGCACTGCTCTCCAACCACTGACCAGAGTAAACCAAATTATTAAATTAACAGAAGATGCCTGGAACATTGGATGAATCAAACCAAAACTCACACTTTTCTGTCAGAGGTATAAAGCAGAGACAGATCCTGACCCAACTATATAATCAATATAATAAATAATAATAAATATATCCCCTAAAATAACCTGTGACAGAAAATGAATTCAAAACACATTTATTTACTTTTTTTATCCATTTACTTTATTTCACTTAATGAATTGTATCAAATTAATCAAGTAAAACAGCTGACTTCATTTGTCTGATGTCTGCGCTGAACTTGCTGTATTCTCGAGAAAAAAATACAGTGTGGATTTTTTATGCTGAGACAAAAAGGTGAACCTTACTCTTTATAAATGTCCAGGAAGTGCTCGGTGTGTGTCAGTAGTGGAAAGGAGGTGACATCACGGCCCTGCACATCATGCAGGAAGTAGCTGAGTGACGTGGAGTGTTGACCAATCAGGACGCTCAGATGAACAAAACTCTCACAGAGAGAGAAGAAGAGATGAGTGCAAGGCTCACCTAATGATGGGCACACACCCTCTGAGGAGGAGAGTACACATACACATCATGCATGTGTTATTTCACAGAAAAATTTCTTGTATTTTGTGCATAGTCCTTTGCAGTTGCTGCCATTTCATGATTTCATTTACATTTAACATATTCAAATCCCCACATTCAAAACCAAGACCAGTAAGGGTGTCAGAGGTGGAGACGCAGAGTAGATGCACCACAGAAACTAGTGCTAATCAGCAAAGGAGGAGTCAGCACAGAGAATGTCCCACCTCTGTTACGTAGCGGGGTAAGGAGGAGCTTCCTGACGCTGCTCAACCAGCAGTAGAAGTGTCTCTCTCTGGAGGCCAGCTCGTGGATAGCTGAGATGAAGCCCATAATGTTCTGGTCTGCCAACACCGCACAGCTCTGACCGCCACTGTACACGCTGCTAATATAACCCATCTACACACACAGGCACAGAGGAAACTAATGTCATTAACACATGAACAGCATGATGATGTTTTTGTTAAGTTCACGCTGAGTTTACAGACAGGATGAGTTAGATGAGGGTTTGGTGCAGATAAAATTGGGGTTAGGTATGTGGGCTGAACGTCCATCTCTGCCCACACTAAGAAAGCAGTAACATTAGTGTGAAAAATTGCCCTGGGCTTGTTTCTTTTTCCACACCACTCACCATCTAATTTGACAGTATACACCAACAACATGGCCACTGAATATAACTGCTGTCCCTGTGTGATGGAGGGTTGTTCATAAGAATTATGACTGATTAATACTGTCAGTTAAACAGTTAAAATATCCTGGGACATCAGTAACATTTGAGCAGTTCTTGCAGTTAACAGACTATGTACCAAATTAACCCCAACACTGTCGACATAAAAACAAGTAGACAAGCTGTTTTTATCGTGAGGTTTAATGCCAGTTCGTCTCTGTGTTGCCTGAGCAGTAACCTGGCGGTTCACAAAAGAAGTGCATTTCTCTGCACCGGCCAACAAGCAATTCTGCTCCTCTGCCGTTTTTTAATCATATGTAGAGCTGATCTTTATAATCAACTCAGGAATTTATGAATTTCAGCAGGATGTTGCCTCTTTTACAACAATGAATTTAAAAGAACCATCGCCTTGTATGATGATCTGCTGGGAGGTGTTTGTCTCCCGCATGTGTGTCTGTGTGTGTGTGTGTGTGTGTGTGTGTGTGTGCCTGTCTGTCTCGCTCTCTGTTTAGACACTCCGGATCACTCCACTTACACCACTGTGTATTGGCATTTTTTAATGGCTCTTTTGTAAATAGTAAATTTTAATTTTGTTGGTTAACAGTTAATGGTCGGTTAACCCGTGTGAGTGTGATGTTTATGGGTCTTTTGTCTGATGACAATTTCCTGCAAGTACCACACATAAAAGTTCTATGTGCACCTTAACCATAATGACCTATTTCCAACATGTAAAATAAAAATAGATACAGCCCAGTGGTGCAGTTACACCCATCATCTTCCTCACTTAAAGTTTCAGTCCCGTTGAACAGTGGTTATTTTACTCTATCCTTGTTGACTTTTGTGTATTTGTATAAAGGCCCATCTAGGGACAGGCACTGCAAATTAGCTTAGGCTATTAAATGCTGTGGAACATGGCACTGGTCCATGCTATATAATTAGCCCTCTAAAAATAAACATAAAAAACGACCTACAAACCTCCATGCACAAAGGCAGCAGGGTGGGTCTGACTGTATAACTCTCCGCCCTGTTGGGTGACCTCTGGCATGACCTTTGATTCTGGTGTGACCTCTCACTCTGCGCTGACAATGGATCTTGACGCTGACCGCAGTACAAAAGTATTGGCTGGACACAGTCTCCGTCAGCTAGGAGAAGGGAGTGGCTCTGACCAGCTGACACGTCCCAAACCCGGAGACCGTCAGACAGCTACGGTGGCCCACAAGACACAAAACACAGTGTGCTATTAGGATGTTTACAGGATTGTTGCATTCATATTTGTATGCTGTTGATAATGTTTTACAGTATCATCGACAGCTTCTGAATGTTAGCACTGATGTTTTATATCTAACATCGTTTCAGTCATTTTATTTGATTGGGAGTAAAAATGAGTGATGTCAGTAAATACTGAATGTAGAAATATGCATTTGAGTGACACAGACAAATTGAATGTGAATGACCAAATTAATTAAAGAACACACATGACCGCCTGTACCGATTGTTCTACCTTCGCCTGTTGAGGAACAGTGACAGGACTGTTGACATGACCAAGCTGTCCACACATGTTGCTGCCCCATGAGTACACCTGCAAGACACAAGGGCAGTCATATTGTGTGTGAGTGTGGGTGTGCTCGTGTTTTCCTGTTTGTAAGTACCGATTTGACTTGAATGACAAAATTTTGGTGTGTAAATGGAGTCTTCACCTATACAAGTACAATCGTGTGTGTGTGCATGCTACGCTGTGTGTCTGTTACCTGGCACTGAGCACTCAGTGCTAATGAATGGTGTGACCCTGCAGCAACTTTGATCACTTCCTCGCCTGTCAGAGACTTAATGCACAGAGGCTGGAGTCTGGAAACACACACACACACACACACACACACACACACACACAAAGATACAAGCTTAAGTCTAGTCTTGTGGATATAATTTCTTTCTCATGACTTTGCAAGTCAAAGCACATTTACCGGTAACGTCATTTATTACAGTATTTAATCACAAAACGACACTATCATAATACTTAATATCTGATTAGTACAAATTATTACTTACTATTATTATAAGTATTACTTAATAAGATGCTTATGATACCTTACAAACACTATTTCTATATCCTTGCAATAAGTTTGCATATGTTTTTGGATCAGGTAAAAGCCTTTATAAATGTATGTGTTACAAACAGACTATTTCATTGTGATTCTCATTATAAAAAGAAGAGAGTTTAGCCAGAGCACATTCACCATTAGAAAAATACAATTTACTTAAATTTACAATCTATTCTATTATGAAGTGATTTATCCAAAGTGCTTAACATAACTATAAATGCATAGGATGTTCACATTGAGTACACAGTAGAAACTGTTGCCACCAGTTTATATCAAACTATTTTCTTTTAATGTTTTTCTGTTTTAGTGTATGACAACATTATACAAGCCAGAATACATTATGTTTTTATTATATTTCTATTATGTGTTTGTGTGTACACACCTAGCAAGCTGATCTCCGTGGCCTAGCTGCCCCTCAGACCCACGGCCCCAGCTCCACACTTCTGTCTCCAGAGACGGCAACCCGTCTCCTGCCTCCTCTGGTGCTGCTGCCTGGGTCCGACCAGCAGAGGATGGCCTGCAGGCACAATGCCGCCGTCGCCGTGGAGACCCTGAAAAAAAAACACATGATGCAATGGTAAAATCCTGGTAAAATTATTGCTTCAAACAACTGAGCCATGACTTCAAATGCTCTTCATCCGTATAATGTAACTCTGTAGCTGGTAAGTCTTATGTTCTCATCATAAACTGCAACAGAGTTCAAACTACAATGTTCTCACCAGCCTAAATAAACTGTACCACATGGGCAAACACATGTAAACCGCATCCAACAGGTTTGGTATGAACACACCCTAATGACTCTGAACTCCTCTGGAAAAAACTCGTAAATCCATTTCTCTCCAAAATAGCCAGCAGTGAGCTAGCTGAAGCAGTCAAGGTGAGGTCAGTGGGCACAGAGCAGGAAATCAAAGCAATGATAACAATAGAAGAAAGCAGGAGATCCACTCTGTTTCAGTTGTTATAAACACTTTTGTTAAGCCACACAGGTAAACAAAAGCCATCCAGTTTCTAATAAATACAAAAAGACTTCCGAAAGAAGTCTACATGCTGAATGGTTTTCAGGTTTATGTTGACTGGTCACAGAGTTTCATTCTGACACTCCGGAAACTCCTCGCAAGCCAGAAAAAGTTTTTCATGTTGAACACTTTTCTCCTGATAACAGGTTAATTATTGTGTTATCTCAAGAAAGCAGATATTGTTATCTCTAGATAACAACAAGTTTATCACGTGATCATGCCTATGCTATCATCTTGACTTACTTATCAGGAGAACCCATTGTTATTCAGTGCGTCAAAGTGAAAGACAAACACATTTATATTCTTCTTCCTTGTTAGCAAGGCTGGAACTTCAAAGAGGAATGAGTGTCAGTGATGCTACTGGTAGCAGATAATGTATGAGAAGTGCATTTGCACAGTGTGTGGTGATGCATTCTGCATTTTGATGTAAAAACATATACTGATGTGAAAGAGTAGACCTACTGACAAAATCACAATTATGTAAACAGTCCAAAGTCAATATGACGTTGAAATTCACAGTGTTTCTGAGCATTTGGTTTTGCAGTTTTCATGTTGCTGTAGCTGACAGTTCCAGCTCGGAGGCTGCAGCCTCAACTTAAAGGAATAGTTAAACATCTTAGGAATATGATTGTTTGCCTTCTTGCTGAGAGTTAGATGAGAAGATTGATACCTCTCAGATCAGTATTCTTAATATGAAGCCAGGAGACAGTTAGCTTAGCTTAGCACGAAGACTGGAGGCAGGGCTAGACAGTTGGCTCTGTACCTTTAAAACTAGTTAGATTTTAATTTGCTTACTAATTAGCATGTTGTAACAGAAATGTAAAATAGCTACAAGTGATCATTTTACAGGGGGTAACATGCTTTAAATGTTTCCTAGTGAAAAGCTTCTTCCAGTCTTTATGCTAAGTTAACAGTCTCCTGGTTCCATACTTCAAGCTCAGGGTATCAACCTTCTTATCTAACTCTCCACAAGAAAGTAAATAAGCCTATTTCCCAAAAGTATAGTCAAGTTGTTCACACCCAACCATTCCTACCATGGGTGGGTGTTCCAGGCAGTGAGCGTCTCCTGTTTGCGGCTGTTTTTGCCTTCTGGTTTATATTTGTAAGACTGGAGCTCTTCTGCCCCTGAAGTTCCTTCTTCTCTGCCTCCAGATGAAGCCGAACTTCTTCCAAACACACAGGGGAGGAGGAGTACGGCCCAGACACTCCAATGTTACTAAAGGAAAGAAGATCAGGTTGCAAATACATTGTAGGTGAGAGTCTTTGGTATGTAGATAAAGCACCAGAATTCAGGGTGTGTATCTGCGTTGCTAAAAATTCCTCTATTCCCTCATTCCCTTGACTCATTCTCTCCCCTTTTTCATTGTGTGGTTTCAGATAGAAGTGAAGTGAATCACCTGTATTCAAAGATCCACAAAAAATGTTCTGTTGTTTCAGTGGATTTGAGTCATGGATTCTTGACATATAGGAAGTATGTAATTGAACACAGTAATCGCACTACCTAAATTCTTCAAATATCTTTTATATCAAGATATCTTTTATAATTATACTTCTGGAATTTATTGTCTCAACATATTATCACTATAAAAGACTGACAGTGTTCCTAAACATTCTTGACCAAATAAAGTGCTTCACTGTCAAGAAAACTCATACTTGGTGGTTTGACTCTTAACTGACGATTCATCTTTGTAACTGGAGGTGTACAGATCCGTGGAGGGAGTTGAGGAAACACAGCTGTCGTCTGGAGAGAAAGATGGAGGAAGAGGAAGACAAAGTTACACACAAAGTAAAAATACAAACAATGAAACACATTTATGCAAAGATTGAATAAATGAAAAATCAAGAAAAGCAAAACAATGGACCAAAACAGTGGCAAACAAAGAAGCATGAGGAAATAAATGAAAGAACAAATAAACAAATGGTCTCGAAGGATAAAAGGAACAGATACATAACAAACCTGAAGTGTGACTGCTCAGTGAATCACTATCCCCAGGACCAGTGGTGTGTTGTGTCTCTAATGTGTGGCCAGAGAGTTTCTGGAGGAGGCTCTGGAGCTCCGTCTCATCAGGGAAAGCGGAGTTCTTATTGGCCCTCCAGCCTGACAGTGAGTAGGACTTTGGGCTGCCATCTGTCTGAGTCATATGGTCAGTGTTGAGCCCGTCAGGCTCGATACTGGCACTAACTGGGAAATTCTTCCTGAAGGGAAAGGAAAGAAAGGGAAGAGAGAAAACAGAGAGAGAAAAACACTGAATGCAAAGATGTAAAAAATCAAGGGATAAAAAAAAAAGAGACTTGTGTTATATAATACTGTACTGTTTAGTGGTATATTTGCGGTCTTCAAAAAATGGGCATGAACCAGCTCCAGAGCCAGGGCTGCTGCCAGCTGACCTTCCCCCAGGTTGGAGCCTTCGTCTGGGGCCTCGTCTCCTGGGAGAGGTCTGGGAATGTAAACCAGACAGGGGTATTAACCAGTGCTGAAACAGCTGCACTGCTAAAAAGAGCATAGATATTGGCAGAAGGGAAACAGTATGATGTAGTGTTATAGCTGCTGACAAATCTTTGTACATCAAAGATCCCATGGTACCAGAACACAAGAATGGCTGGTTTACAATTCATCCTCTAACATTTTCACATCCTCTAGATTCTGTAATTGTATGGCTTTCTGGTTGTTGAGACTGTACTTAATGTGTAGCAACAATTTCTGCACTATTTTCCACACCATTTCCATCATATCCATTTTTTTGAATGTATTAGTCATCACCAAATTTCTTTAATTTCTTCTTATTATTACTATATTTACCTCGCCCGTTAAGGCTTCCGACAGCTCCACCCCCAGTGGACAGTAGTGAGCATCATCAACTGTTACCAGCTCCTCCCTCTCTGTCACTGAGTAGTGAGGTGACTGGCCCCGTTCCCTCTTCTCAGGGCAGTTCTGGGTATTGTAGTTCTGAGGAGGTAAACTGCGAACAAGGGCCAGGCTATGGTAGGCACCACAGGCCACCTGCAAGAAATAAATAGAGCTGGTATGTGTGGAATTAGAACCTAGTATTTTTATAATTTAAATGTGGCAATGAAGATATTAGGAAGAAAAACTACCTGAATTACATGTCTGCCAGCCAAGTGCTCCACCTGTAAAATAACACAAATTTGATGATTAGGTTGAATATAAAATTTTGTAAAGTGTTCACATGCACACACACACAGAAACATCATCAATTCACCATCAAACAATACATACATTCAGTGTCAGATGATTGAATATTTGACAGAGTTGACAGCATATATGCTCAACCAAACAAACTCTATAAATATGGGTCAAACTAAATGAAATAAACTTACATGAATAAATAAACTCAATATGTATGACAGGGTTGATTTTTTGAGGTTTTCAGTCTGACTTTTTGACAGCTGAGGTCAGTCTTGAATGCTGAAATACATTGACTTTACACAAACTTACCTTCTGCGGTCTCCATACAGGGAAATTGTTTGTGACCAGGCCAAGCTGGCAGCCACTGCCCCAGGCCCACAGCTCATTCTGGGATGACAGAGCCAGGCTGTGCTCCCGTCCACAGGCCAGATCCACAATCCGAACCACTGCTTGAGGAACCACCTCACTGTCCACGACACTGACCAGGCACGGCTCTGAAACTAACACAAGGCGCGTGTCACACGTATACACATACAGGGTCTAAATGCTGTTTGCGGGGTTTTTACACCAAAACTTAAGAAACCAGTTTTTGATGCTTTTATAATCTACGTTACTATCAGCAACCTTTACCAACACCAGGAACTTGTAGGAGAAAACATACAGCAGCCTGACCAGACCAATCAGAGTTTGTGTGGTTTTTAGATAGCTTATGTTGCCTTGACACATACTAACATCTTTTTGACAAGACCAAGTACCTCAAACTTAAACTGTAGCAACAGGGCACCACAACACCTTGATACAGCAGCTGATGAACAAACTGAATAATATCCAAGTGCAAGGAAAAGTTACATTTTAGCACAGACAAAAAAACTAGAAGTGAGGTGTTAATACGGTGTTGACCAACCTGTGATGTTTGTGACTGTGCTCCTGTCAGTCAGCCCACACTGTCCTGCAGTGTTCTCTCCCCACATGTAGATGTGGCCCTGCTCCGTCAGCGCTCCACAGTGGAAGCCGCCGGCAGCCACACGGACCACCGTCTTCCCCAGGAGAGACACCTCCAGCAGCGGAGCAGATGCCGGGATGCTCAGATCCCTCCACAGCAGCTCCCCGAATGAATACACCTGACCACCTGGAAGACAAAAGCAACTGAGTAGAAATGGCTAATTTTGTAATTAGAGTGTTTCTAATGCATAGTATGGTCGCACCAGGGAGAAAAAAAGTGTGTATTGTTATAAGATTATGGTACGACTTTTATTTAAGATGTAATGATTTTTTTTGGCTATTTTATGTAGTTATCATTCGATAGGACAGTGAAGAGTGACACAAAATGGGACAGAGAGAAGGGGAATGACATGCCGGCCTACAGTCGAACTGGGGACTCGCCTGCTAAGAGCATTTGTGCCCACATGGTCTGAGCCCTAACCACGCGGCTATGGGGTTGCCTGCTAAAGATAAAAGATATAATAATATAACCACCACAGCTCCATAGTAGCAACTTGGTTTGAACAAATACAGACACAGAAGAAAAGTTGCCCTTTCCAATACAAATGGTGCAATATGGACAAAATATCATGATAATCATTACATTGCTGTATCTTAATACCACCACATTACAATATGCACTAAATAATTCAACATCACCTGTTCAAAAACATACAGTTCATATTCACCACATTGTTTCAGATGGCCATGCTGTTTTAGTAGACCAAAGATTTTAGTTTAAAAAATATACCCTATTCAAAATCTCATGTTGCCTTTTGGAAAGATTCAACTAGAATTTTTAAGTGAAATGTGAACCATGAAACAGTGTGAGCCTTCACTACAAAAACACACTCACCCTGTGTCAGCAGGAGCCCATGGTGTTCTCCCACGGTGGCGTGCAGAACGGGCCTGGAAAGCAGCACTCTCTCTGGAGAGAGCTGCTCACTGGGGCCCGCTGACTGCCAGATGTGGAGAAGTCCTCGTTCTGGAGGCGCGGGGTCCTGCTCATATGCAGGGCTGCAATACAACACACAGATGTATTACTATTATAGCCTGAATTGGGTCTCGAATTTAGACTAGATCTCAGCCTAAACACAGTGTCCAAACCCAAACCAGCTGAACACCAGGACCAAATTCTGAATATGGCAACAACCAACAAGGCCCACAAACCACCTGAATTCCTAGTATTTTTTCTCATTCCTGTGTTGTGGTTTAATGACACAATCTCCCTGACAGTTAGATTAAATTCCAGTCCAGCATCAGCAGACACAAATATACTAAAGAACTGCAATGTAGAGATGCTATACTGGCCAGACACTCCTCTGATGTCAGTCTGACTTTTACATATAGTAAAACAAATTAGCAAATATGACGTATCCAGAAAATTATTTTTCCTTGAAGTTTAAATTAAAATAAAAAATAAAAAAATGCAGTAATTGATAAAATATATTTAGTAAGCTTGACTGACTGAGAGTGGATTTTAGAGGCTGATACTGACTGAGGCTGATCATTTTTAACATTGAAATATAAAACTAACAAACATTAATTAACAACTCTAATCAATCACTCGTAAAGCACTTTGAACAAATCTCACAGTATCAAAGTTGCTATTTACAGTAATTTAAGTTTAACTGTTAGATTGAGCCACTGGTTGATCTAATCTCACATCGAGTCTGGGTCATACCTAAGGGACACATAATTTGATGGGCATCTTAGTTTCATATTCAACATGTTTACAGTGGAAACAGGTAACTCAGCAGCTATAAACAGGACAGGAACAGCTCTAAAGAGTGCGTGTGTGTGTGTGTGTGTGTGTGTGTGTGTGTGTGTGTGTGTATGTGTGTGTGTGTGTTTACCTCTCCTCTGTGTTCTCCATTACTTCAGACTCTCCATTCCACTGGACAGTGAATGCGTCTTCGTTAACATTTTTTCAACTCTTTGTCTTCTGTTCATTCAGAACAATTTATCAGTCTGCAGGAAACAAGTGAATCCACTGTCCTATTTTGACCTCTTTGGTTCATCTGACCTCAGGTGCTTGTTGTAGCACCTGGTTGCCAAAACATCACAGTAAATACACTCTTCATTACTTGACTTGATATTAGGTTTGAAATGTAAAATAAATTAAGACTGAAATTACACAAAATGTACTGAACCAATTTGTAGGGATGGGCCATGGTCCTGGGAGTAACCCATTTAATTTTGGTGTCGATGCGGTTAAAGAGTCAGAACTAGGAATTTTTTTCAATGACTTTACTTAAAATTGTTTTCGATATTTACGTCCGTTTCCCAGGAAATAATCTATGGATCTTGACGTAAATACACATGTCCTTTCTACAGAGGACATGTGTAGAAATGTTTGGCCTTGGCGGAGGTATGTGCGCTACTGAGTGCCATTTTAGTTTCCAGTGGTTTCTCTGGGAGCGGGAGCGGGTTTCTCTTCATGATTGTTTGATGATTGATTCTGGATTGTTTCATGATCTGTATTGGCACTGCTGACACGTCCCAACGACTCAATAGCCAGCAAAACTATTGGAGAGTTTTGCAATTGTTACGTGCTGGCCTCATGTAAAAAGCTTAGCCAAACATCACTGATCTATTTCTGTATCTGTGGAAATCACATAAAGCCAATAAGTTAATCACTCTAAAGCTTTCAACGTTCACACAGACTGACAGATTAGCTAACATGACAGACATGCGTGCGCTCTCGCCGAGTGAAAAATAAACAACTCAAACTTTCTTGCTGCTAACATACGGCACGTTTACCTTCTTTGAAATAAAGCAGAGACGTCTTGTGTTGTCGCTATACATGGTATGGTAAAGCTAGTAAACAGAGGTAGGCTAGTACAATGCTACCGCTGCTAAAGAGGCTAACTAAACTTACCAACTGCCAGTTTGAACTCGAGAGAAAGTCGCAGAGATGTGTGGTGCGGCAACTCTGAGTGAATCCTGATAACTGTGTGTCACTGTCACGGCAGAAACACCGAGCTAAGGCATTTTTATATATTCAAATCTGTGCAGCGCAGTAAATGCAGAAGTTGTCTCTGACAGTTGAGTGTTGTTAGTGGGAGGCGGCTATCTGATGGCATCCGGGCAAGGACAAACAGTGCGGCAATACCACACCTGTTGCTGTGTTGGAGCATTTTAGCTGTTTTTCCACGTGATTGTCTTCTCAGCGAGTCTTACACTACTAAAAATGCAGCAACATTTTTTAAAAAAAAACTTCTCTCGAAATGACTTGGCTCATATACAGTTTTGAGCAAACGTTTAAGCCACTGTTCACGTTCAGATTTGTATCAATCATGCTGTAGGCTAACTATCAGGGAGGTGTCTAGTCTGTCCCAAATTAATTCTGCAGTGTTACAAGGAGCCCAAACATACATCCAGAGTCATAAAGAACTGTTTTTAGTGACAAAAAAAACAAGGAGTCCTACAACAGATGGTATGGCGTCTACAGAGCCCTGATCTCAAACATCATGGAGTCAGTCTTGGATTACATGTCATGAGGAGACACTGAGACAGCTTAAATCCACAGAAGAACTTTGCCAACTTCTCCAAGATACTACCTACCTGGCAAGTACCTTGAAAACTCTGCGCAAGTGTAGCCTACTGAGGCGGTAATTACTGCACTTTGTATGAAGTAAATTGATGAATAAAAACTATTCATGACATTATTTTTAAAAGCGCCCCTGCTTCACTTTTAGTGCCTGAAACGTTTGCACTGCACCGAATGTGTAAGATAATTACAGCAAGAGGATAACTTCCATAAGGGCTGTTATTATAACAAGGTTACTGCTGTATGTGTGTGAATGTGTGGGAGTTCAGGTTCCTCAGCTGGGTGTTGACAGCAGAGGTCTCTCTCCTCAGAGCTGCACTAACTTCAGCTACACATGTCCTGTTTGGGCTCACATTACCTCTCAAATGTGAGCACCAGGATCATCAAGAGGAACATCACTGTAAGTCACTAACAAAGAAACAAATTAACTAACTAACTAACTAACTAACTAACTAAGTCATGATTCACCATGTGAATCATGTCCATGCATTGGTTTTACATTTAACATTGTTCAGTTTTGTAACTAAATGTCAATGTTATGAGGTCTGTTTGAACAAAACTGCCCCTTTTCTGTGTGTAGTCCTGGAGAGACGACTCAACCTTTCCCCAGACCTGATGCCTGGAGGCTCAATGAGACAGTCACTGGAGAAACAGTATATCCGAAGTTTAGTGGATATATGCTTCGGATTGTAATAATCTGATGTGATGCTGCATGTAAATTTATTCAGCATTTTAGTGTATTCTTACAGAGTGACTATAAGTATTTATTCTAAAACATGCTTTTGCTGCAGCAGGCCCAATGAGTGTGGTGTATGCACACACACGCATATTTATATATATATAGCTTAAATTTTGACTCATTCAGCAGCTGAACACACTTGTGACCATAGACGCTTGTGACTTTATTCGTTCTACAATTAAATGTTTGGAAGTTCCCAAAAATGTGTTGCACTTAGGTTGCTTTGCTTTCACCATTCTGTCCAGTTCATCCCAAACTCGATGGGGTTTCGGCAGCACAGTAATGTCCAAATAATGCTGTAATGAGTGTACTAACAGTTTGCTCCAACACTGCCTTTGTGCAGACAGGGTTTGTTAGTCATCAACAGAAGTTGGGACACCTGTAGGAATTGTTTGCACTAACTTTCAAGGCTTCATTTACTTCCATTACTGCAGGAAAGCTGATAAAGGCTTGTATTATTTGAAATATATATGATTTTTCATCTTTCCTTTCCTTTTTTTTCCTTTCCTTTCCTTTCCTTTCCCCTCCTTTCCTTTCCTTTCCTTTCCTTTCACCCATGTTCGTGATCAGCGCTTGTTTGCCGTTTTAGTGTTTTCTATATAAAAGTGTCCAGCAGGTTTTGGCTCCAACTTTTACTGCCTGCAGTAAAACAGGAAAATAAAAGGAAAAAAGGAAAAAGGGCAGGGAATGCAGGGAGAAAAAGAGAGTCTAATATTTTTGCCTTCTTGGAGCTGAACGTGAGACATTAAAGGATCACAGCTGCTGGCAGTAGCTTCTGCAGTCTTGTGTGTTAGCATGTGCTCGTTTTTTTCTTTTTTGCTAATCTAATACTCAGTTTTCATCAGACAAACATCTCAGTGTTGTAAAGTTCATCTCATTGTCATCTTACAAGACACATGATGTCATGTTTTCATGCTTTATCTTCCAACCATAAGCGCCAAATTGGATTACTGTAAGTTAATTTATAGTTGAGTGATGATAGTAACATCTTTTTCACCAGTACTGTTTAAAAATCTAATGTGTGTGTTTCTCAGTTAGGAGGTCCAGTGATGATCGCAAGAAACAAATCAAGGACAACATAAGTGTTTGCAGCCAAGACTTGACATCCCTTGCCTTGGAAACACAAAAAACTTGAACCCATCCCATCAGGAAACTTTTCAACTGTATTACTATACAACAGTAAGAGAACTTGGATTTTTCACACAAAAGTTTAAGTTTCAACTATTATCAAACTGTATAGAAAAGAAAGGAAACTATGTCGGACTAGATGACAGAGAAAACACATGGTCAGTCTTGAAAAAAGGTTGGAAATATTGTAACATAGCCTACAGTATATAACATTTGTAGGAAAGAGCTTTAAGTATAGAAAACCCTGGTGTAGTCCTTTAAATAAAGATGGGGGCTGCATGGCTGCGGCAAGCTACTGAGTGCAAGCTGCATAGCAACATAATGTTCAGTGCAGTTCAATGAAAATAATAAAGCACGCTTACCCATGCACACTCGTGCACACCCACTTGGTAACCCCATGTCGTGACCTGAGCAGCCAGTATTCCCCTGTCCCAACCCTTATAAAGCTCTACTGCTGCTGGAAACAACACAACCTAGATTTATAAGTCTGCAGAGGCAGTGAATGTTTGTGTGTGTGTGTGTGTGTGTGTGTGTGTGCGTGCGTGCGTGCGTGCGTGCGTGAGTGTGTGCGCGTGCGTGCGTGTGTGTGTGTGTATGTGGGTAAAACAGGGTTGCAGCCAGGCCACAGAGACACAGTAAGTCTAAGAGGCTGGTTTGATTGACCACAGTGTCGTGAGCAGTAAGTAACTCATGCACAGAGAGAGAGCTATGCAACTACAGAAAGATGAGTTCAAAACATTAATGATTCATGTCATCACTTTGAATTGATATTTGTTTGTTTCATTTTTTATACATTCACTGCCAACCTTTTTTCTTCCAAAGCATATTACTTCTTCCAAAAAAGGGAAAAAATCTGTGTTTTTTTCTTGTAATTTGGACGTAGCATCTTATATCGATAAAGATTTTGAACTTGTGAGACCTTGTGAGTAAAATAATCTTAATATTGGAGATACTTTTGAGATGGCTTGTAAATGTTAGAAATGCAAATAATTAAGATAATGGTCTGAGTGCAAATAATTACCTACAGATACAAAAATTAGTCTTGCAGTAATTCTGACAACCTTTTCAGATAAACAAGTCCTAACTTTATTCCAACTTTTGTAGAGAAGAAACTCCAGCTACCTCCAGGCTAAAAACAAACAAACAAATAAACAAAAAACTAACAAAAAAAACTAACAAAAAAGTTTATTTCCAAACAACAGACACAAAAACAAAAATATATTTTAGGTCAAACAAACATCACTTGTGCACTGGTGTGTTCCCGACAGGTGAATCTTCTAAAGGTAACTTGTGTATCCAACTTAATGCTCTTGGTACTGATTGTCAGCTTTGTATTTCTGTTTTTATCAGTTTATAATTTTTTTTAATTACATGTAGTCTGATGACAAAAGAAGAAAAATGATTTTTGTCTCCAAGACTACAAGGGAGGGGTTTAATTTTAACTATCTGGCACTGGAAGTACTGTGTGTGTGTGTGTGTGTGTGTGTCGTGTGTTGATGTGCTGTTGTGTGTCTGTGCGGACATTCGTAGTAATCTAGAGTGTGTGTGTGTGTGTGTGTGTGTGTGCAGGCAGTGTATTTAAAGAACATTGAAAACACATGTCTGAAGCTTGATAAAAAATACTTTAGGCACTGGATAATTTGGCATGATTTATGCACACACACAAGCACACAACCAAGCTCCCTTGGATATAAGTTTGACCTTATGAAAAACAACATACACGCGTATTAAATATCAGCATCAGAGACAGTGAAGAACTTCAGTATAAACTAGGTGGATGTTTAGAGGTTAATCTAGACATTTACTGATCTGACCACAAATGTTCAAATGAGTCATTTGTGGGGTTTGATGAATAAAACTAACTGGGCCATACAAGATGTAACACTAAATCAAGCTTGATTTAAAAAAAAAAAAAAAAAAAAAGACTGACTATCTATTGTATGTAGGAAAAACATCTCTTTCTCTCTATAAAAGCATTAAAATGATTGTAGCATGGAGCACTCACAAATCAGCATTAGATAGATAAGTGTGCATTTAGGTACAGATGCAGGAAAAAGCAACTTATGTTATATGGAAAATAGAAATGTAACCCACACACTAAATATTAAATTTAATGAGGCAATAAACTTAGAGACACGTTGATCACAAACCTACACTGTGTGATCTCCACCACTCAAAATGAACGGGCACAAAGAGTTTGAGGCAAAAGCAATTTGCCTTCTTAATACACAACTCCCTGTAAAGACATGTTATTGATACATCATTGATTTTGCATTGTTTGACTCATTCACACTACAATGCTAGACTGGTGTTTTGAAAAGTATCCACTCTGGAGAGAAAAGCAGTGTTCCTTAGGTGTGAAAAACACTGGCTTAGTGTGGACATGAGAGAAAAAGAGAGTCATAAAAAGAGAGAGCAGTGACCATCTGGCTGAGGTCAAGCTCCTACAGAGAGTGATGATCACAGTAGAGTGTGTGTGTGTGTGTGTGTGTGTGTGTGTGTGTGTGTGTGTGTGTGTGTGTGTGTGTCTGTGTGTGTGTGTGTGTGCCCGTGTGTGAGAGAGAGAGAGAGACGAGAGAGAGAGAGGGTCCCCTGCAGTGAAAGGTGATGACCACAGCTG